ATATACATATATATAAATAATATAAATTTTATATATATTATATATATGTTTGTATTATGTACATTGATATATATATATATATAAATATATTTATATATATATATTGTGAACACTCATGCAATCTTATGGGGGGAATTGACTGACAAACAGTGTACATACCAGAGAACTCCAACGCTACTTGTTTTTCCAATACTAAGCCAAACGCACATAGCGGTATTTATATAAAGCTTGTGTACATGTACCTAATCCGTGTCCCATTGCGCACTGAGACACGGAGCTGCCACTTTTGATCGAATGATAACTAGATTGACGACTGATGAAGTGTGAAATGATACTTTTTAAATTTTGAGGGGAATATAAACCACTGCTGAGGTTTTCGCTCCAATTTTTTAAAAATGACCGTTGAAAAACGCGCAGCAAATCAATTGGAGCTGGAATGCGAGGGAACCCAAATTAAATAGCTTTTTTGGATCAGGTACATTGTGGATGCCAATTGTTTTACTCAATTACCAGATATTGTTATAAAATACTGTGCAACCGCTCCTGATCGATAATTCATTCTCCGTGCATTATTATAATCGGGACGACGTAACTATACTTCACTTTTGCAGTAGAAAAGTTTCATCTGAAGTCCGAACTGCTTTTTCGTAGCCTCCAAAAAAATATCACTTTTTTCGAAAATTCAAGTTTTTTGCTCTGTATTGGCATGTCTGTAATTTATTAATCTTAAATTTTTGTTTTTTTTTAGTTAAACGCGCAGCCACAGACAGTCATCATACACGTCTGAGTTTAATTATGTACAAGTATGTATGGAGAATACTACATTGGATGTATATAAATACGCACGTATGTATGTATGATACATGCCTAATCGAGATACCACCAGCAACGAAAGAGAAGCGTTTAATTTGGCGATAGATGTGAGTTAGACACTTATACGATGCATATACTGCACTTATGAATACTTTAACTTAGGATTAGAACAAGACCAACATGGTCGACACCACAGTGAACAACGCGGCTGTTGCACCGATGCCAGAGAGCCCCCCCATAAGTCCCTTCCCATCGCCTGGAAGTGCAAACAATGGAGCCAATTCAACGGACAACAACAACAATAACAGTAACAATAATAACAGTAATGCCATGAACGTTACTTCTAAGTCGCATAATACAACCGACAGACAGCACTCGTACAGAGAAAGCGATGGGGTGTACATGAACGGCAGAAGCGATCTGATCAATAACGAGACGAAGAATAGGGGTGGTAATGATAACAGAAGTGAACGTCTACGTGAGGTCATAGGCACGGGTGATACCTTGTCACCCACACAGATAGAGGCCATGAACAGCAGCAACAACAACAACAACAACAGTAGTAACAGTATTGACAATTCGTTCCAAGCTGGGCCTATGAATAACAACAACAACAACAACAATGGGAATAGCATTGAGAACTCATTCCAAGCTATGCCCATGGGAAAAGGCGACTCGCCGGCGATGCGAAGCAATGCAAAGAGCTACACGTACGCTCGCACACTGCACACACAACAAAAGCAGCATAGCAACGCAGGCGAATCCATAGACCGTCACCATAGTTACAGCGAGAATATACATGACAGGTCATCGCCCCATGTACAGTCACAGTCACAGCACGAGGTTGCAAGCGGCCGCTCTACACGCACACACAGTCACCAACAGCAGAAGCACTCGCCGAGTGTGCCGGGAGAAGGCAGCCTGAACCACAGAAACAGCAAACAAGCGAGCATACACTCTTCATTCAAGGATGAATTATCACGCACACCCGATGTCATGCGTGCGTTTAGGCGTCTGATTGAGTCTATCTCCAGCCGGGAGGAAAAGACTGGTGACAACGGGGGTGAGATCATTGCTACTAAGGGTTCTGTGTTGAACGATGTTGTGTTTATTAGCGATGGCCAGGCGGAGGAGATTGACGAGAGAGGGTCGCGCGTGTTCTTACTACAGAGCGGCGATTATTTCGGTAGGTGAATGATACATTGTGTAAGGTTGTACTTTTTTATGTGGTAGGATTGGTATGTGATGAAATAAGGTTATCTGTCTGTTGCTTCCGATATACGTTGCTGGCTTGGAATGCTGAGTGCTATTGTATATTATTGATATACACGTGTGAAATTGCGTTCGTGGGAATGGCATAGTCGCAAACTATTAGTACGGATATGTGCTCGTGCAAAAACAGATGTATATGCATCGATGTTTGAGAATAGTTAAGTGTATTTGTGTACGCAAACGTATGGAACAACTTTTTATCGTCAAGTTTTGTATACAGCTTCATCGATTTTAATATATTCTGATTACGTGTATGATTGAAGATACGTGTATATACATGTACTAACCATTCGTACGGACAAGAATATATACATTTATCAGATGCGCACAAATTTTCTCTCACTTTCTTTCTCCTAAATATATATAAAT